AAAAAAAAAAAAAAAAAGACGAACAATAAAAATAAAGAAAAAAAAAACAGTGGACATTAATTAATTTTAATTTATTGGCTGACTTTATTTTTTAGTTTGTCATCATTTTTATCTTATCAAAAGTTCATCATTATTTAATGATTTTGCCTTTTTTTTTTAACTTTATTTTTTTCCTCTCAAAATTCCCGGGGGAAATTTCTGTTTAATTCTATGTTTATCCAAATGCAAGGGCAAGAAAAATAACAGATAATATTATTATTATTTTTTTTTTAAATAAAAGAGTTAATCTATTTTAGGTTATCAAAGAAAAAAATGAAGCATCAAAACCTATTTTAATCAAGAAAAAAGAATTAATTTCAGAACATCAACTAATGAAAATCTCACGTCTGTTAGCTGCTGGAGGCTTGGGAAGCTCGTCGAGCCCTCGAGCAGGCATAAACGACTCGTTCGAATACGGCTGGTTCACGAGCAAGTTAGTCGTCGGCACATTACGAATCTCCTCCTATATATTTAGGTTATAAAAATTTAAAAAATAAAAATAAGCCCAAGAAGTTCTAATAAATAACTTTCACATCAAACATCAAAAATTGGATTTTGAAGAAAAATGAGAAAAAAAAAGGTAAAATTGATAACCCTAGCTAAATTCAAACACTATAAAAACTCAAACCCTAATTAATAAATATTATTACCATAAGATTGTGAGGAGAAAAGAAGGAGTGAGCCATATGCATCTCGCGCGTGTTCACCGACAGCAGGTTGGTGCAATGCCCGCATCGCACAGTAACATTCTTGAACAAGCTCGTGCAAGGCACGCTCACCTTCAAAAAAAAAAATATGGAGTAAAAATTAATAAGATCAATTGTTTTTTTTTTCCTTCTCAACAAATTAATTAGTTAGGAATATAAAATATACAGCAAGGACAGTGTCGCAAAATCGGCAAAGGACGTAACAGAGCTGCTCGGAAGGCGGTGGGGAAACGGAGGAGTACGACATTTTTTTTTTCTTTTAGTTGAGATTAATTTCCTGGTTTGGTTAATATTTTGTTGATGTTTTTTGGATTGTATGTATGTATGAATTGATCTGTGGAGAAATATGTTTTCTTTGGTTCTTTTTTGTGTGTTTTGTGTTTGAATGGTTGAGGAATCTAAGAAGGATTGATTTGATTGATTGAGTGATAAATGTGTTTGTATATAAAGAGAGGGTGTGTAGGGGTGTTTTTGACAGATTATTAACTGCCTTAGGATCTGATCATTGTCTGAATGTTTTTCTTTTTTGGTGGGATTTTTGAGATATAAGAGACAAAAAGAGGTAGGGTTATTGGTAGTCATGGCCATGGTTCGGAACACGCCCGTGGTCAATGGTTTTTGAACTTGCATAGACCATTGACCACGGTTTGTGAACAGATCGAACGTTCAGTCCGCGTGATTCGGTTCATTTTTTAAGGAATATTGAACCGTATAGGTTCCGGTTCTAGGGAAACCGAAACTAGCGATTCGGCAAGAAAAGTTTAATTTAAAATATTTAATATTAATTTTTTTGTTTTGTTTTGTTTTTAAATTTTCTCGGTTCAGGGTCCGTTCGGGATTGATTGACTGTTGGGCCGATTCCGAATTGAGACCATTGTTTTGGGTTTAACCAAAAATTGAATTACGAAACTGACGGTTCCGAACAAAGACCAATCCGAATCGGCTTTCGGCCATATCTTTGTGGGGAAGAGAATGAGGGATGCCCTCTAAAATAGATACTAGTAAACTAAAAGGAAAATTGCGTGTATGGGGTTTGCATTCTCGCTGGCCGTAGTGCGTGTAGTGTGTGAGAGAGAAAGCCATGGCAGACGCGGCAGAGGTGGGGGAGAGGAGTGAGAAAAGGACGTTTGCATGGCCTCTCATTAGCTTTCGTTCACTCACCTGTTGTTTTCACAATTAATTAAGAGGGGCTTTCTTTCAATTTCATGCATTTTTTTTTTTTTCCTTCCAGATACATTAAGAGTATGTTTGAAAAACTCGTTAGTTGTTACCATATAGTTGATATGTTAATTTATAGTTTATGAGTTAATTTCGAGTTTATATGTGATAGCTTATAGGTAACGATCGGTGGCTGAAAAAATTAGTTGATATAATAAAAGTGTTTGGTATATATAGGTGAAATGTTTGGTAAAATTACTAATAAATTGTTTGAACCAAATTTTTCAGTATGATTTTTATTAGAAGTACCTTAAAAGGTCTATTTTTTCAAAAATTTCATCTTTTTGGTTGTTGGAATACCCAAAAAAAATATTATTACATAATTAAATAATTAAACTATGATTTATTTTATCACACACATTCTAAAGTGATAGTTAATTTAATTTCCTTTTAATTAAGATGGTAGTCAAGTCCTCTACCCCTTTATTTCGACGACATATTGTTGTGTCTGAGGTGTGCGAAAGCTGTGGTGCTAGTGAGTCGGTTATCCACGTTTTGCGCGACTGCCCGATTGCCATGGTGTTTTGGAAGCTCATGCTATTGCCAACCCGCATGCACGAATTTTTCCGGCAGCCGCCTCAGGCCTGGTTACGCATGAATTTGCTTAAGGGACGAGTGGGAGAATTCAATAACTGGGCCAGTACCTTCGCGATTGCGATTTGGAGGTTGTGGACTTGGCGGAATGAGCGCATCTTCAAGAATGTCTCTCTTAGTCTCGAGGCCAAGCGAGCAGAGGTGGTGAACATAACATTAAGCTATGCGCGCGCGACGGCGGCGTACGCTAAGATCTGAGCTGCATCGTACACCCCTCGGCAGATTCATTGGTCTCCACCAGACTCGGGATGGGTCAAGGTGAACACGAATGGCTCGTTTGATGATCTCACGGGATCGAGTAGCGCCGGCGGGCTCTTGCGAGATGACTTGGGTCGTTGGATAAGTGATTCATTTTCAATATTGGGTCCTGCACCGTGCTGGGGGCTGAATTGTGGGGTCTGCTTGAGGGCTGCAGTTGGCTTGGGAGTTGGGGTATAGAAGAGTAATTGTCGAAGTGGATAGCCTGAGTGTGCTAAAGGTGATTTCAGGGCCTGAGGGCGAGTTGGGTGCGTATGAGGCGCTGATCAAGGCTATTCAAGCATTATCGAAAAAAGAGTGACTCTCCGGATCCAACACGTGCATAGAGAGGCGAATATGGCGGCTGATCATTTGCCTCGTTTGGCGGGGTCTAACCCGGTTGGCCTTCGTCGGGTGACAACCCCTCCTTCATGTTTGGATGAATGGATGGAGCACGATAATAGGGGGGTGTCCATCCCCCTGCTCGTACAGATTTAAGCGTGTTGATTTCCTTTATTGTACCAAAAAGAAAAAAAATTTGTCACAAGAAACGTGTGTCTTATGAGTTCGATTCGTTTTACTTTTTTATAAACGAGCCAAACATATGTTAATCATTTTAAGCTATTATAAATTTATAATTTATAACCTAAACAATAATTATATGAAATTTTTTACAGTTTAATTTGTTAAACTCGTATTTGACTTGTACCGAAAAAAAAAAATAAATAAATAAAAATAAACTCAAATTTTTTTTGGGTAGCTAACCACGGTATTCGAAGTTATGCTCCGATTAATCTGTTGTTCGACACGAGTCGTACACCTGCAGAGCAACCGTTTCATTTTTCTGGTGGATCCAAGAAATTAAAATTAAGCAGATACTCGACAAAATCTGAAACCCCAAATAAATTATACATATTTATTGTCCAGTGGTACATAAATTGGCTCATATATCTTGAATTCCTGATTCTCTAGCTAGTAAATATAGGACCGCAATATTTTTCAGCGTAGCCCATCAAACTTAATTCAAAGTACATGGGAACAATTAGTATAGACTCGACCAGTTTTAATTTACGCTAAAAAATAGAGTTTTAGTGAAAAAATTGTTTTGTCACTATACCTACTAACTGTTGTTATTATATCTATTGTTACTATATCTACAATTGATGTCACTATATCTACAAAAATTGTAGATATTGTGACAACAATTGTAGATATACTGACAGTAATATCGTGACAACATAGTAACAAAAAGATTCTTTACTAGAACTTTATTTTTTTGTAGTATTAATTAATGGTTATATATATATAATATATATATATATATATGCCTTATACGTTTAGTAAATTCATAACATTATTTGGTTTATTTTTTATTTATTTTAAGAGTAGGGATTTAAGAGGAACAAAATTAAGGGGGTAGGGAGTGCAGAGGCAAAAAAACATGTTAGAGACTGAATAGGAAAATGAAAAAGGGATTAGGGATTTAATGGGAAGTTGCCCTTGATACTATCATGTTTTCGAACTAAATAAATAATCAATAGAAATATCAGATTACATTTCGAAATAATATTATGATGCGTTTATGCCAATATATATTCAAATAAAAAAAGTCATATATATATATATATGTAACATTCCATCGGAGTTTGTAACTGTTGAATAATCATGTAACGGTCAGAGATAATTGATTTAACGATTATAAACCCCTACCAAATAGTTCCGTAACGACTGTAGCATCTCCCTGAAGTTTGTGACTCATTCTAATTACTCTAATGACTTAACATAAAGTTTTAATAGAAAAAGGCAAAGGGGTATATAACTGTTTAGTAAAGATTAGATGGGCAAGGGATAACCGAGTTACCCGACTCGGGTCGATCTCGAAGGAAGACTATTCGGATCTTTATCTACTAAATGATCGTCCAAATCACAAAAAAGGGAAAATAAAATCCTAAACATTCTAAGCAATTGATTGGGGAAAAATTCAAAAGTAGTCCCACAGGTTTGGGGGGGTGACACTTTTGGTCCCAACGGAATGGCGAAAATACCAATGGTCCCACAACTTTTAAAAAATAATCAAAAGTGGGACATTTTACGATTTTCCGGGCCGGAAATCCACGCGTCGCTCACGTGGCATTTTATTTACACGCTGTTTTTTTTTTTTTTTTGCCCTGCTGGAAATTAGAATTCCCACGTGGACCGATTCAGCAAAATATAAAAGCCAAAAATTGGGAAAAATCGGGCAAAAAAAAATTGCCCCAAATCGTTCTTCCCCAATTCCCAAATCCCCCCAACATTAGAACCCTAATCCCCAAATTCCCCACAAAAGTTGTGTCGATCAAAATACAACTGAGCAAAAGATCAACGTAGAAACGGGCGTACTCAGATTCGTTCCCACAATTTCTAAAATTTTTTCAAATCTCAACCCTAATTGAAATATGTCTTTCGTCACCGGAGATGGGACATGCCATTGTGGTCCGAGGACGGTGATTCGGACATCATGGAAGGACACCAACCCTGGGCGGCGATTCGAGTCATGCTTGAATTATGAGGTGAGGTGTTAATTAGAATTGCTGGTTCATGTTCTTGGATTTTCTGGTTTATTGATTTCTAAATTTGACTCTTACAGCATGGAGGGTGTGATTACTTTGACTGGTTCGATCCTCCAATGTGTCGTAGGTCTAAAATGATAATTCCGGGCCTCTTGAGAAAGATGAATGAAAGGCAAACTGAGATTGAGAAGCTGAAACAGAAAAATGAAAAGTTGGTGGAGTTGAACAAAAAGTTGAAGAAGATAGTCTTCATTTTGGTTCTTTTGCTGGTGTTGGTTATTTTATCCAATTTCAAAGGTGCTAAGAACCCAAATGGAATGAATCAAGTGAAGATGCTTCAGTGACTGTGATGTGTTATTTTTAGATGTTGTTAGGATCTTTAATAGCATTTTGAATGCTTCAGTGACTTTGATTGTTGGCATAGTGATGATGTTGGTGTTTGCATTTTGAATGGTAGGATGGTTAAGATGGTAGGATCATGTTTATGTTAAGCTACTTTTGTATGTTGTGTAATAGCATTTGTTAATGTAATATGTTGGTATTTGGAATGACAAAAGCTGTTTTGGTGTTCTTATTTTCTAGCTACTTTGTTTAATGTTGATACTGTAAGAACATAAAAGGGCACAATAACCTGTTTATATTACTTGTTTACATAAAACTAAACAAAATCCATGTAACATCCAAACAAAACCTGTTCATTCCAACAATCATTCCAAGAACCTGTTCTAACAAATCTAGCAACAAAATGCCAAGAATCACATGAGAACCATTCATTCAAACAAAATCCATGTAACATCTACAAAATTCCAAGAACCACATGAGAACCAAAACAAATCCAACATTCAAACAAAATGACAAATAACATCTACACCAAAACCTGTTTGTCCACATTACTACCCAAAACACATCTAAGATAACATCCAATTGTTTCACAAACAAAACATGTCCAAAACAAATCTAAGTGAACATTCATTTTTTCACTTCTTTTTTCCCTTCCCTTTCTTCATTTGCACTCCAGTTTGGCTTTCTTGAGAGAGGTTCATGAACTTTTTCCCACCTTCCACCACAATTGACTTGGAGCTGTTGGACTTGGTACTGAATAATGGTCTGCTATATCCTCCTGTGATTGGTGGGGGTGCCCTTATATTGATCCTAGTCTGCAGAGGGTTAGTCACAGGTGGCTGGTTTGAGGACATCTTCAGCTGCTCAAATGGAGAAGGACCTGGCTTCTGAGGCTGCACATACTGATATAGGTTGCTATCTACCTAGCTTTCAATTGCTGCAATCAAATCCTGGTCTGAAATCACACTATCCATCAGATCCT